CCCCTTCCGTGTCCGCAACCAGAAGCCCAGCGCGGCGCCCGGAGCCGGACCCGCGCCCGCGCCGCTCCCGGGACCGCGCCCTCGGCCGCCCCGCGATGACCGCGACCGCAGCCCTCCTGCGCGTCCTCTTGCTCCTGCTGGTCTTCGGCCGCAGCACCCATGGTGAGCCCGCCGGCGGCCCGGCTCGCGCCCCCTCTGGGGAAGCCTGCGACGCCTTCCCAGGCCGCCGGCACCCCGCGCGCCCCGTCCCGTGCGCCCAACTCCCGCCCGTCCCGCCTAACCCTAAGCCCCGCGCTGCGCCTGCCTCGCCCTCCTGCCACCCTCGCATGCCAAGCCCGAGCCTGGGGTGCCCGGGGCCAGGGGAGGTGTGGGACCCCAGCCCCTCCCCGCCCGGCAGAAGTGGCGCGCAGAGAGGTGTCGGTGCGCTGGGAGAGGAGGTGTGGAGGAACGAGGTGATGTAGGGGTCCTCTGAGAAAACGCTTCTTACGGGTGGAACTTTGGGGTGTCTCTGTGCGTTTGTCTGGAAGCAAATCTCTGGGGGGGCTGTGGAGGGAGACTTTGCCGTTGTAACCCCGAATTGCCAACCAAGATCCCAGCCCGAGCCCCTCCTGCGTGGCGTTTCTCTAGGTAAGGGGCTGCGACACTTCTGTCTGCAGTGGTCATCTGTCTCTGACAGGGAGTGAGTTGCCCCCTTCCCGCCGAGCCCCTGCCCCCACCGCGCCACTGGTTGGGGGTGGTGGAGGGGGAGCTGGTTGGAAAGCTGGAGAGTGAGTCGTGGCAAAGCACACAGTAGGTGCCTACTAAACAGTGTCAGAATCCCAGCACACTCTTAACATGAGGACACTGGGGTTGGAAAAATGGGGGGGATTTGCCCTAGGCACCTGGCTTAACTGGGATATCCTTAAGAAAGCAAAACAGAACCCAGACGCCCTGCCTGCAAGCCACCAGGTGAGCTGTCTGGGTTTGCCAGAAATGAACGTGTGAAAAACCCGTGCCCGTCTCATAGGTCACTTTGCAAAAGTGAGAGTTCGTTGAAATCCAGGGGTCAAATCTTTCCTCCCACCCTCGCACCCTAGCCACACTTTTCTTTCCAGAGGATTCGAGGTTTGGAATTTTCTTTGGGAGAGAAAAGCTCTGCTCCTAAGATCTAGGGTGTGTGCTGTGGCCACCCTGTAACCAGAGACGTGGAAAAGATTTTTCCTTGAGTGCCTGAGCCGTAGCCACGCAGATTGGCAAGTGCCTACTGTGTGCCAGCCGGGTGCAACCCCAAGAGTCGCTGGCTCCGTGGAGAGCAGCTGTGGGCTCTTGGGGAGGAAACCCATTCGGTCTTGGTCTCTGGCGCACTGTCGGGTGAGCTGTCTAATGTGTTTATGCTCCAGGTGCTGTTAACTGCTACCCGGCCTGCCACCCCATACACGGGTCCTGTGAGGATGAGAACATCTGCAGGTGACGGCACGATCCCCGAGAGGCGGGGGGCAGGACAGAGGCCCCGCGGGCTCTCACTTTGAGAAAAGGGCTGCCCCTTCAGAAGGCAGGTCAGGGGAAGCAGGGGCAAAGAGCGAGGAGGTGGGTAGGCACAGTAAGAGCCCCGCAGGGTGAGGTCACTCAGCCACTGCGGCAGAGCGCTAACGTGACACTGGGTCTCAGGACCCCGTGTATGCACCTCACCGGGTCTTCTCTTTAAGTTGTTTTATTCAGGTGGCTGGGGTCGGCCTCCCAGGACCCCTGGCCTGACCCTATTCAAAGACCCCGAGGGCCCTTGGTTCTACAGAGAGCCACACTGAACCCCCCTCACATGTCCCCTCCTTCCTCCCACAGGTGCCAGCCAGGCTGGCAGGGTCCCCTGTGTGACCATTGCGTGCCCTTCCCTGGCTGCGTCAACGGGATCTGCTTCGAGCCCTGGCAGTGCGTTTGTGATGAAGGCTGGGAGGGACACCTTTGCGACATAGGTGGGCACAGCCTCTGCCCGGTCCCCCTGTCCCCTCTCCTCCTGACACCCCTGCCCCTCGATCCAACCACTTCCTCCCAGCCAAGACGGTGCCTCCTCTCCCTCCGCCATAATACACACACTTGGCGTCTATTTTCTAATGATCTATGGACACACTCTCAAGTACAAGAGCTTCCTCCAAGGTAGAGACTTAACCTCACTCACCTCTGCACAGCCAGCATCCAGAGAAGGCACCAGGGTAGGCTGGAGGGGGGCTGCTAGTTGCATAAGGAGTCACAAAGTATACGCACACAGGGCCAAGAGGGTGGGGACCACAGCCCTGGCCACCTGTCAGGTTGTTGAAGTGCCGAGAGATGAACTGACTCCAAGATGAGCACATTGTCAGGAGGCAGCAAAGAGCCAACAAATCGACGAACGGGGAAGTCGTGCAGAGAACAGGACCTGGCCTGGGCCACTGGGGTGGGCTTGGGGGCTGGCTGGACGTGTCAGGGCTAGTGAGAGACTCCGTGGGAGGTGGAGTGGGATGGGTGTTATCTGTTGATGTCATTAATTTATGCCATCTTTGTCCTCCATCACCCCGGGCAATGCCAAGGTGGCTGTTGCTACCTTTCCAGGCTGCGGAAATGTTTACGTGGGTCCGTTCTTATTCTGCAAAACCAACCCCAAAACCTGGGAAAAGCCCCAGCAGCAGAGGCAGCTCCTGGGCCTTGGTCCTCACTCCTTCCCTCCTGTTATCAGAGCCCCACCCAGAGACCCCCTGGGAGGCGCTGCCAGTGGGTGTCGAGCGTGCGAGCTGGGCACCTCAAAGTCAGAGGGCCCTGCTCCTGCCACTTTCAAAGCGGCCTCCTGTCGAGTCCCTCATGGGCAGTGAGATGGCCTTTTAAAAGCAATCAGGCATTCGTGGTACAAACAGGGAAACTGAGGCGCAGGGAAAGGACACATAAGAAGTGGGGAGAAAAGCCAGGCTGAATCCCGTCCCCAGAAATGGGTTGATTCTCCTCAGAAATTTCTTGTTAAGGCCCTTCCTGGGGAAAAACTGAGAAGGCATGTTGTTGTGCCTGCCCCTCAGAGCTGAGGCAGCTGGCTTCCAAACCCTGGCCCCCTCAGAATGGTCTCAGTCCTTGGAGCTGCCCCGCAGCTGACGCATGCTCTGGCCGGCAGCCCCGCGCCCCGCACGGCTGCACCCTTGCACAGCAGTAGTCGCGATGCTGAATTTGGGCTGTGACTAGGAGCTAAGTGTGCAACCCACTCTCTGCTCTAGAACCCCAGGACACGCTGCTGGAATTTTCCAGACAAAAGCTGCCCTCCGGGGGCTGGGGGGGCCTTGGATGGCTACTTCCGCCAGGCTTACAGAAGGCCATCGGACTCAGGGTAGCTGGGAGGTCTGGCTGCCAGAGGAAACAGCCTCCAGATAAGGGGCTTCCCTCTCCCAGTCCCCCCTTGGACACTTTCTTAGCCACAACTGCTGACACACTCACCCCCTCGCTTTTGGTTTGGGGGCCCAAAAAGAGGGAAGGAGTCTAAGCCCCACAGCCCACAGACCTATGGGGGGCCAGGTAGGCGTGGGGGCTGGCTCTTTAGTCTAAATTTCTGATGCCCAGTGACAGGCAGCCGGGGCAGAGAGCGAGGAGGCAGCCCTGGAGAGTGGCTGTGCGCTAAAGGGGCCGTGATGCTGTCCCGTCAGGGTGGGATAAATCCTCTTCATGTTGCCTTGCACCAAGGTGCCTTGTGGGTACCGGTTCACCTCTGCACGCAGCTGACTGGCGGCTCCCCTTGGTCTCTTTTAAGGAAGAGGGAAGCCAGCACTAGGGTGGGCTCAGCACCAGAGGACCCTTCCAGCCCCTCTGCCTGCCTGCCTGCCTTCCTCGTGGGCAGGCTCAGCAGCCAGGCTCGTGGGAACCCAGAGCTGTGAGCCCCAGGCAGCAGGCAAGCGCGAGCCCCTCCTTCTATAGGTGGGGAGACTGAGGCACAGAGCGGGCAGCAGCAGACTATCCCTCCCTGGGCGCTGAACGAGGAGAGCCCCGACCATGGCCCCTTTGTTCAGCTCGCCTGCCCGGGGAGAGTAACGCAGTATGTGACGAGAGGTGGAATGAGGCGCTGGAAATGTCCCAACGCAGACAGGCAGTGCTCAGTCATTCTCACGTAGCTGCCTTCAAAAGATGCAGCCTGTTTGTCGGGGACCCTTAGAGGAGCACCGAGAGCAGGAAGGAGACCTTACTGGGCGGGGGGCGGCGCAGTGCCAGGCTAAGTCGGCTTTCTCCATTCCCGACGGGGGTCCTCACATCACAGCTCTCGGCCCCCTTTGATGGGAAAGTGTGAGCAGCGGGTGCTCTTCCTAAGAGCTGGTCCTCCAGGCGGCGGGACTTGGATGGCTGGTCGGGTCGCTTCTCTGTCCCCCCATATGAGAAGCTAGAGTGGATGTTTGTCTCCAGTGCTGGATTAGGCTGGCTCTGCTGTGTAGACGGGTCTGGGGAGGGGCAGGAGGTCTTTTGGACGTTGGTGACCTGGTGCCTGGAGAAGGGTGGGCAGCGGCAGCCACAGAGTCCTGGCTCTGGAGGTCTCAGCAAGGAGACCCCTTTCACTCCCCAGTCCTCTGTTTACACACTGCGGGGTTTGGGTGGTTCACCACCTGCTCTTACTCGGGCTCGCATGTCGTGACCGTCACCAGTGGCCACCAGCAGAGCCATCCAGGAAGCACTTGTCAACCCTCCCCACCCAGGCAGCTCTCCCAAGTCCCCCTAGTACCTTCTTGGCTTCCCTGGCATTGGGGGTGACAAGGTGGTCTGGCTTCCTCTGCCCTCCAGACGTCCGCCCTTGCACCTCGAACCCCTGTGCCAACAATGCGACCTGCATGGACCTGGATACCGGAGGCTACAAATGCTCTTGTGCCCCGGGGTACATGGGACCCCACTGCCAAGAGAAGAAGCCTGGGCCCTGCGTGATCAATGGGTAAATATTCCTTCTCAGCTATGTGATTGGTGAGTGCTGTGTCTGAGTCCTGCTTCGGGGGGGCCCCTAAAACCTTTGAGCCCAGCCCTGTGGGACCAGCCACCAAACAAAAGACAAAGGAAGTGTTCCTGCTGGCAGCCCCTTGGGGGCTGCCCCAGGTTAGCGATATTCCTGGGGACATGTGTCATTTCCGTATTCCAAAAGCTCCTGAGGGTGGTTTCTTAGTCAGTGATGCTCCGAGCATAGGAAATGGGAACCCACAGCTTGGAGCTGCGGGGTTTTCTGAAGGTGCCAAACTGGGGGGGGGGGCTGCGGTACAGAGTTTAGCGAGGCTGCTTGGGAGCCCCCCTGACAGGTTTTAGTGGGGTTGGGAAACTGGTGAGCCAGGCAGTTGGGTTTCCGGAGAGGGAGCTTCCGGGCTGAGGAAGCGGCGAGAAGGGGTTATGGCCAGTGAGAGTGGGCGAGCGGCAGGGCCAGGGCCAGGGGCCTAGCTCTCACTTCTTCAGTGAGCAGGGGCCGGCAGGCAGATGGGCCCTGTCCTCTCTGCCCCTCTTCTAGCCAGCCTCTCTTCTTGCACTGAGCCTGGACTGCTCTGGGTGGAGTTTAGACTCAGGCCAGGAGAGATGAGAAGAGGCCACAGGAGCAAGGATTGAATCCAAGAGCTCAGAGCAGACCCAGCGCTGGGCCTGCAGCTGCGGACGACTGGGGTCCCTTCCTCCGCAGCACAGCAACTGAAACACAGACTTAGCTTCTCTGGGCCCAAGGCAGGAGGGCCCGAGGAGCTGGGAAAGCACCGCAGACAGGCCTGAGTGCCGCCCAGAGCTCAGTGTCCCAGAGGGGCTGCAGGAAGGGCGTGAGGGTGGAGCCCTACCTCTGCTTGTTAGCAGGAAGGGAGAAAACAGGGCCAGACCCTCACCTCGTTTGTGTTCTTTCGGGCAGACTTGAGCCCGTGACCCTGGCATTCCTTCAGAGCAGGGCGGCCCGCAGCCCGCGGTTGCCTTGTTTCTCGTCCCTTTCTTCCCGGGAGTTTTGGCATTTATCAGATGACAAAGGGCCTGCTTGTGTCGAAGCACTTACATCAAATGCCGCGTGTGTTCTGCTTTGAGCAAGCGGCTTTGGCGGTCTGCAAGCTGGATTTGTTGAATAGACCCCGCTCTTAACGCTGCCTGGAGTAGCCTGGCTCTAGGCAGCAGAGGCAGCCGGCGGGCTCTTTTCACTGGGGGAGCCCCCAGGGGTTCCTGCACAATAGCCTGTGGGCCCACCCCACCGAAAGAAGGAATGAAAATCAAATCGGAGCAAGGGGGAGGGGAGGGGTCCTGGTGGTGGAGCTAGCCAAGTCGGGTGGAGGAGCACTGAGTTAGCTGCCGGCCCCCCTCGCATCCAGGGAGGGACATGCGCCCAGTGAGGGCTCACGCACCCTCTGCCAGCCTCAGTTTCCCCATCTGTCCAGTGATTCATCATCCGGCCTCTGGTTGGAGAGGTGACATGAGAGGTGAAAGGAGTTGGCCACTTGGCACGGGCGGTCAGGTGTGTTCCCTGTTGGCAGCCTGAGGGCGTGAGGCGTGCACTCCCCTTAGGGTGCACCCCTCTCAGGAACAGACTGTGAGCCTCTCGAAGGTGGTGGGGCTCACCTCCCTCCCCTGCCCTCTGTCCTAGCCCAGCCCCCGAGGGCCCGTTACCTGTCCCCCTCCCCCCATTGTGTTGCAGTTCCCCTTGCCAGCACGGAGGCACCTGCGTGGACGATGAGGGCCGGGCCTCCCATGCCTCCTGCCTGTGCCCCCCTGGCTTCTCAGGCATCTTCTGCGAGATTGTGGCCAACAGCTGCACTCCCAACCCGTGCGAGAACGCCGGCGTCTGCACCGACATCGGGGGCGACTTTCGCTGCCGCTGCCCGGCCGGCTTCATGGACAAGACCTGCAGCCGCCAGGTGACCAACTGCGCCAGCAACCCGTGCCAGAACGGGGCCACCTGCCTGCAGCATGCCCAGGTGAGCTACGAGTGTCTCTGCCAGCCCGAATTCACAGGTCCCACCTGCGCCAAGAAGCGGGTGCTGGGCGCCCAGCAGGTCACCCGCCTGCCCGGTGGCTACGGGCTGCCCTACCGCCTGACCCCCGGCGTGCACGAGCTGCCCATACTGCAGCCCGAGCACCGTGTCCTGAAGGTGTCCATGAAGGAGCTCAACAAGAGCTCGCCGCTGCTCACCGAGGGCCAGGCCATCTGCTTCACCATCCTGGGCGTGCTCACCAGCCTGGTGGTGCTGGCCACCGTGGGCATCGTGTTCATCAACAAGTGCGAGGCCTGGGTGTCCAACCTTCGCTACAACCACATGCTTCGGAAGAAGAAAGACCTGCTGCTGCAGTACAGCAGCGGGGAAGACCTGGCGGTCAACATCATCTTCCCCGAGAAGATCGACATGACCACCTTCAACAAGGAGGCAGGCGACGAGGAGATCTGAGCCGCATCCCCGCGGGCCCCTCTATATTCTCGGGGTTCCGCCGAGCTCACTATATGCGGTCTGTCCTAATCTTTGTGGTGGAATTTGCTATCCTTTGTGTCGAATCTGGTGAACGCTACGCTTATATATATTGTCTTTGTGTTACTGTGTGACAGACGCAATGCCTGGCAAACCCCTCTTTCCCTCTATTATTAATGCATGCTATATCAACAAAATAAGAATTTCATCTTTCAACAAATCTAAGATATAAGTATGTTATTCTAAACGTAAGTTACAAAAAATATCAAAAATACCAAAAAAAAACATGGTAACAGAACCAGGACTTGGTGCCGACGTCCCTCTCGAGGGGCCTCGGCCGTAGAGTCCTTGTGAAACCGTTACGAGTGCTGTACGTGACCGATCACTGTGACAAGGGCTCGGATCTCTTTTGTTCGTTAATTCGCACACGCCACATCCAACTTGCACTCACATCGACTTCTCTACCACCGCAACGCTTAGATCTTTCCGATTGGTTTGAGATTTTGCAGAGTGCAGCGGCCGTGTGTTGGTTGGCTGCTGGAGGGGACCCAGGACCCTGTCTCAGCCTTGCCACTGACTTGCTGTGAGATCCTTGGCGAGCCCCCAAGCCCCCTGGGCCCACCTCCTCGCCCCTCTCGAAGAAGGTCTTGAAGGCATATGGCCATTAAGTCCTTTCTGGCTTCAAAGTTTGGAACAAGGGGTACAGACCCCAATAGTTCCTGACTTGGAAAGTGAGGCCTCATGGAGGCGTGTTCTTGTCCTAGGTCTGAAGATTTGGCCTATCCTGGATGCTCACTTGATACGTTGAAATTCGTCCTGACTGCCTTTCTGGACGTGGGTAGCCTCTTGGCCCACCCGTGTTTGGAAAAAAGAAAAACTGTAGGCCCCTTTGAGTCACATGTGCGATTTGGGGGTGCCGTGCAGGTACCCCCCCAAAGTGCCAACACTTTCCCTGCCTCCTTGCCCTGTAGATTAGCGAGCTCCCTCCAAGCTCCCATGCACTTTGAACCACAAGTGCCGCTGGTACAGTCTGAGCAGCCCCACAGCCCTCCCCAAGGTTTTCACAGGGTTTGAGTGGAAATTGTCCCTTGTGGGGCGTGTCCCAGTTACATGGTGAACATGGCACAAGACATCAGCTACCCAGTTGTGGGTTTACATGTGTGTTGCTAAGCCAGTCACCCTCAGATCCCCAAAGACCTAGCCAGCTTCTGAATTATGGATTTGACTTTTTAAAATTTTTTTTTTTTTTTTAAAAAGAGCATCTATGTTTTTTGCAAAGATTGAAGGCTACGGGATAGAGCTCTTCTGCTTTGCTTCCAGTTCTTAGGTCGGGCAGCTAAACAGCCCTTGGGTACCAGTTAGGAATATTTTGCTTCTTCAATTATTTTGATAGGAAACTCTATGACTTAGCTTTATTGAGTACCACCTGCTGTGCTTACCTTGCTCTGAGTATTTATCTCTTAAGTCGTCACCATCCTTGTCATCTCGGCCATTGAGTCACGGTCACCCCACACACTCAGAAGTCACCCTCACCCATCCTTCACTCATCCGAGTCACCATCATCACTTGGCCATTGATTTCATCAATGCCCCTCAGCCCCTGGGCCCACCTACCCCAAGTCCCTGGCATCCTGACCCAAAGCCCTCATCATCTCCCTGAAGGTCTGCTCCCCATCACTCTCTGTATATCATCATCCTCACCCAAGCCCCTCCCCACCCTTGTCACCGTGTCCCTGATGACACCCACACCCGTGTCACCCTGTCAAGATCTCCTTGCCCCCACTTTTCCCACTGATTCCCTCCCCAGGCTCACCTGTGAGCCCCACCCCTAGCCCTTCCCCACCTGCAGTCCTGCAGGTCACCACATTCCCAAAAGCCCTGTCACTGTCTTCACAGTCATCATGGATGCCAGGCCCCCCTATCTTCCCAAAGCTCCTGTCACCACCATTCCTAGCCCCTGACCTCCCTGCCCCAACCCAGACCCCTCCCTAACCTCCCCCTGAAACCCCTGGCTTCCCGACCCTAAGCCTCTGATAACCTCACCCTGGGGCTCCCATCCGTCCTCCCCCAAGTCATAATCTCATCTCATTTTAAGTTTGTTTTAAGAAATAAAAATTTTAAAAAGACAAAAAAAAAAAAAAGAAGAAGAAGAACTGTTGGTATGTGCCAGGTGGGCGTCTGGCACCCCACCTGGCCTCTCTCAGCGTGAGACCTTGACCGAGTCCGTTAACGGTTCTGTCCTCAGTGTCCCCAAAGACTCAATTCTCTGATTGGACACAACGACCAAATTCTCGACTCGATTCTGATCTCGATGCTGTAGAGAAATGCCACATCCCCCTGACGACAGCCACCTGACTCGCTGTCCACTTACCCTCCAAGAAGGTTGCATCAGCCCACTGTCCATCCATCACCCACCCCATCCAGAAGCATTTCCACTCACCTGCCGAGCGTGAGGCAGTGTGCGGGGAGCTCGGGGCATGCAGGCGGCGGGGGCCGTCTGGGAGGGGCGCGGACACCCAGCTGCCCCACCCAGCAGTGCGGGTAAAATGCCGTGGGGGGAGGTGGTCAGTTCTCAGCAGACGCCTCCCTTAGCGCAAGGCCACCCCACCTCCCCACGGGACAGATTCTCTGTTACCAGCACCCAATGAGGCCGCCCCCAAAAATTCAACAGCGTTCCCCATGCACCCTCATACAATCTGAGCAGCGTTACAGCCTCGCCGCGGTCTTCACGCCACGCAGAAGTGGCCCACTCCCCGTGAGAGGGGCCAAACATGTTCTGCTGAGAGTGTCGGATTTTTGGCTGCCCATCCACACCTCGGTGTGTTTGGGGTAGTGTGTAGTTTACGAATCAAACGGAGAAGCTCAAAGACAGCTGTCAAAGACATCTCATGAATTCGGTCTCCAAAATTGAGAGGGTAGGAGGAGTCATGATCTTACTGTAAGCAAACAAAATCTAAAAATGTCATTGACACTCTTTTTAGCTTTCCCGTTTACTACCAGACACGCAAAAAACTTTGTTTATTGAAAAATAAACAACTAAGGGCTACTCTGCTGTGTCTGTCTGTCTGGTGTCTCCTGCGTCGGCCTGTACTTGTCTCCTCGTAGAAGGCCCTCAGGCCTGGACAGGAGGGAGCTGGCCCGCCAACTCTGCCCCCTCCAGCCCTTCCCTGCGGTAGTCGTGTGCCCACCCAGCATGGGACTGTGCATCCCCTCAGACCATATTCTGCATTGGGACACCGGGATGTCCTGCCTTGGTGGTCCTGAGGCCACCTCCAGGGTCAGCCTCCTCCCTGCATCATTTCCGGAGAGGGACCCAGGAAGGTCTGTTCGTGTTCCAGGCATGGCAATGAAATATGGGGGTGAGGGCGTGCATGTGCACGTGAGGCCAGCCCAGAATTCCAAAGAGTCCGGAAGGCCACCCTGGTATGAGGGAGGGTGTCCAGGGGAGAGGAGAGAACGTATTTTGAGTGACACTTAGGTTGGTTGACAACCTGGCAAACCTTTAGGAATGGAAGTATATGGACCCCCACTGATGCTCCTGACTCAGGCCTCTGCATGCTATTAGAGACCCGCTTTCAGCCTTGGGGTCCCAGGCCTATTTGCTCAGTAAATCCACCCTCGAGTTCCCATGGAATGCCTGATAGCCTGTGCCCATACCCAGGCAACGGAGTTCCAGTCCAGGCCCTGGGTCCTGCTGGCCCCAGAGACTCCCTCCATTCAGAGTCCACTGTCACATCCTCCCTGCAGCCTGTCCTTCTCCTAGGCCTTTGCCTGCCACTGCCCACCCAAGTGGCCCAGCTAGGACCACCTCCATTCCCCTCTCTCCCTCCTCCACCCCAGCGGCCCAGCACCAAATCCTTCTGCCCTCGGCAGGCCCTGTTCTTCCCCCTGCTGCTGTGGTCTCCCCACCCTGCCCAACCCCCCGCAGCTGGGGAGATGACTCTTCAACACAGCAGATCCTGAGAGGGGAAGGGAAAACCTTGAAATGGAAACAGGATGGAATTGATGAGATAACGTTAGGTTAATCAATCTTGAACCGTCTATAAAAGGGATGAGTTCTTGAGGAAAATAGTAATGAGCAAAATTCCTTGCTGTGGCCAGCAGGAATGCAGCAATAGCTTGGGTGGATGAGAACCTCTCACTGGACCAGGCATCAGCTGGCTTGGGGTCCTGACTTTGGGAGCAGAGTTTTACACACATGGAGGAACAGGGGACAGCCAAGCCAGAGAAAGTGCTTCAGATTAAAGGCGTGAAAAGGTCCAGGGCTTCCCACTACTTCTTAAAGCTGAGAGCACCCCAATGCCTATGCCTGACAATGGGAACGTAAGGAGAGAAGACCCGCATCCTCACTCCTGAGAGGCAAAGTCCTAATAAACAGCTTTATTGAGATGCGTTCAATAGAACAGCAGCCAATCAAAGACAGCCAGGCGTGAACACACACACCCACACACACACACACCACGATCTAGTAGAGCGTGGACAGCAGGCAGGATTTCACATCAGTACATGTGTGTAGAGACAGTGTCCCTGGAGAGTCCAAGAGGGAGGAATATGGGGGCACTGCCTGGGCCTCTGCCAGACAAGCTGCAGTCAGGCAGGTGAGGGGCAAGGACACCATGAGGAGAGACCCCACAAGGGAGCGGGACCCTTGCAGCTACAGGGCACTCCATCGCAGGTTGGGCTGTGAGGTCGCTGAAGAAGGGGGTTCCCCACCTGGGAACTGGGACAGGGGACTGCGGTGCTGTGGTGTATGGGAGGGGGATAGAGAAGGCCCAAAGGAGGGGTGGATCCCAACCCTAAGGAGGGATCAAGGGATCTTGTGGCCTTGAGGAGTCCTCATGGCTGTGCACCAGGCTGAGCTCAGGGAGCTGTCCGAGGGGAAGGACCCAGTGGACTCTGAGCAGAGGAAGAGGCCCAGAGCAGCATGGGCAGAGGGGAGGGAGGTGCCTGCAGGACTGGCATGTGGTCAGGGCCTGAACCGAC